TGTTTTGTTTTCAGGGTTTAGGGTTTAGAGGTTTAGGGTTTCGGGTTTAGGGTCTCTGGCAGCTCCTCGTGCCTGGGAGGGATGGAGGGCCTGAAAACCGGCATCAACGAAAGAACTGACCGGGAACGTCCCAACTGCCAGGGATCCACTGTTCATCCTCACCCGACCCGAAGCCACTTAGACCAGCGGCTGGTCTTGGCTTGTTGTGCAAACCAGCTGTCCTCCCACCTCTCCTGCAAGTAGGGGCGGCGAGGGAGTGAGAGGCGCAAGCCTAAGCCTCGAGAATCTCAAGTGAGGTCCCAGGTAGAAACTGCCAAGTAGATGCCTGGATTTACGGCACCATTCGGTCCGGCACAGCCTTTTTGCTCCCTACAAGCCGGTCTCAGCGTCCGCTCAGCTTTTCGTAAATCTGCCGCGGGATGGACAGCAGTGTGTTCGTGTCGTAGTTCTCGTCGTCCTGCACCACGGAGGGATTCGCAGGCAGGCTTTACATCTTGCGTGTCTGCTCGAATCTCTGCGGCAGCGGCGCTCTGTCTGCGTTTCGGGGAAGAGGCGAGGTCCGCGGGGCTCTTTTGCATGTCACATGAAGCCCCTAGTGAACTTGGGAGAAGAGCACCGGGCTGTGCCCTCCCTGGGGGTCCTTTCGTGGGCCGTCGGATCTGGAAGAGATCCAGACGCCATCGTCGGACTCGAGGTGCAGCCCTGCATCTAAGGACAGGGTCATGTCGTACTCCCGCAGGCCGCCGAAGGCCTGGTTGGAATCCGTGGGTTGACGGTCTGGGATCTAAGTTTCGTGTTCAGGTGTCAGGGCTTGGGTCTGGAATTTAAGGTCTTCATACATGTTCGACCCAACCCTCTCAACCTGGATCTAAGGTTTAGTGTAGAGAAAATGATGAGGGATCCCTGTTGAGCTTGCCTGCGGCTCGTTGGAGGATCGTTCACCTCCTTGGGGCTGCGGCGCCGGTGCCATCTGCACCGGCGCATTCATGGAGGGATAAGAGGGCTGCATGGGCATGGGCCCTGGCATCCCATAATAACCTCGGCTGGTGCTGCTCTTTCTCCGAATCGGGACGATGCCATGTCAAACAAAAAGCTCCCAATTCCCCTAGATACATCTTAGATCTGTAACGAAAGAACTGCATCTGCTGCGGATGCTCTTGGCATAACCAATCAAAAACGGTCAAAGTCCCAGTCGCCTGGCTGGGCTTCCTCGGTGAAGGCAACCTCCCGAGGGGCCTTGATACCCCAGTGCAAAGGCCGTCCCTCGGGGCTCACCTGCAGCGAATGCTCTGGCTCATGATCTGACCTAGACCTAGGGCATCCCCGACCTCCATATTCATCGCAGCTCCCATCACAGCCGGCATCAAGGCAAGGAATCGCCTTCTCATAGCATGCAGGTGTTTCGAAGACAAGAGGCAGTATGGACACAGGCACTGGCAAAGCCTAGTGGCTGGAGCCAAGACCGGCGAGGCCCCGCACTTTGAAGATGCCGGACCCTAAACCCGTCAGATGTTTCTAACTTGTTCCCCGACACTGCACCATCGTCAGCCCTTTTTTTCATACCCAGCTCTGCAACAACTTGGCCTGTGCTGGCCGTCACCCTGCTGGGAAGCCACCGTGCAAGCAAGGTCGGTCATCGCAGACTTCGTAGAAGCGCACATGACACACTGATACTGGCTGTGGAATCCCATGGTTGGTGGGACCTCGCTCCACGGGCTTCTGACGATACGTGGCCAACATCTAAGTTTCAATCTTCGCCTCAAGGTGTCGATTCGTTAGCTCTCAAGGCGTCCCTGCAGGCTGAACACGGGTGCTAGTCATTCTGCATAAACATCTCGCTCAAACTCTTATCCCTACTAGCGGTTGCTCGTTGTCCGGAGGGCACATGAGGCCGCAGGATCACTGCCAGCCGCCCAAGGGTCTGAGATCTTTCGCCTGGCGGCCGGGCCACCCGACAACTCAGCTGGAAGTAGCAGTGGCAGGAGCAGCAGCAACTGTAGCGGTAGCAGCATCAGTGCGTAGCAGTAGAGTTAGGAGTAGGCGCAGGCGTAGCAAAAGTAGGACTAGGAGTCGGAGTACAAGTTGGAGCAGGACTGGTAGTAGCAGTAGCAGTGGTGGTCGTCATCGTGGTGGCGCGGTCGTGGTCGTGGTAGCGGTAGCGGTAGGGGGTCGCGGTCGTGGTGCTGGTCTTGCTGGTGATGCTGGTCTTGCTGGAGTTGCTGGTCGTACTGGCTTGTGTTGCTGGTGTTGCTGGTGTTCCTGGTGTTGCTGGTGTTGCTGGTGTTGCTGGTGGTGCTTATCGTGCTGGTGGTGCTGGTGGTGCTGGTGGTGCTGGTGCTGGTGCTGGTGCTGGTGCTGGTGCTGGTGCTGGTGCTGGTGCTGGTGTTGGTCGTGGTTGTGCTAGAGCAAGCATGCAGCTAGAATCCGCCGAAACCTCACAAACCAAGCAGGGCGTGAAAAGACACCAAGTTAGCAAAGGAGGCCAGCCAGACGACCGTTAGAGATTTTTTGGTGATTCTAAACCCAACCACCCGACGATGCCCCGACCTGGGGCTTGTTCTGATTGTTCAGGAAGACCGTGAACTCGCACTCGTTGCCCACCTGCGAAAAAGGGTCCCTAGCGTTACCGCCGATGCCCCTAAACCCTAAACCCCACACCCCAAACCCTTTAAAGGACCCCTGAGCCCTGAAACCCTGTAAAAGACCCCTAAACCTCCTAAACCCCTTAAGAACCCCCTAAAGACCCCCCGCCCCAAAAGACCCCCAAAGGCCCCAAAGATCCCCCAGCACATTGAAGGCCAAAACGGAGGCCCTGACCTGAAGGCCGGAAGCTTCGAACTGAGCCTGGCGCGATGAATCCGGTGCCGGCAAGGACAGGGAGGGAGGAGTCGGGAGGGGAGGCTTCTAGGGTTTCGGGTTTGTCTGTCTCTCTGTGCGTGTGTGTGCGTGTGTGTGTGTGTGTGTGCATGTGTGTGTGTGTGTATGTTTGTGCGTGTTTGTGCGTGTTTGTGCGTGCTTGTGCGTGCTTGTGCGTGCTTGTGCGTGCTTGTGCGTGCTTGTGCGTGCTTGTGCGTGCTTGCGCGTGCTTGCGCGTGCTTGCGCGTGTGCTTGTGCGTGTGCTTGTGCGTGCGCTTGTGCGTGTGCTTGTGCGTGCGCTTGTGCGTGCGCTTGTGCGCTTGCTTGTGCGC